CACACACACACACACGTTTAAGTCCAGTTCAACAGATAGAGATATCACCATATGGCAAGGGTGAGGGGCCAGGACAGAGAGCGAGAGGTGCAGTAGTCCCTTAGCGATTCTCTTTTTGGCTTACAAACAGGAACATGAAACAGAACAGTTTGGATCCATTTGCTGAGTTATAGTTTTGTCCAAAGCAATCAACTTTCTAATTGTTTAAAGTTTCCATTTTCCTGCGTCCGGCGTCTTTCACTTTCTCCTTTATGTGCTTTCATGATTTATTTTGGAAGTGGGAGCGTTACGATATAAAGCAAACAATTCTGCTCTCTATCCAAACAAGGCAAAAATAATCTATTTGCTTTGTTTGTCTACTCCACCATCTTTTTCCAATATGAAATGTTCCAGATATGATTTCGCTCGGACAGCAAGCGCCGTAGCTGCCAGTGTGTCTCACGCCTATAAATCAGATGCCTCTCAGAAAACTCTTGGGAGTCTCCTGCACAAAACATGGCAGATAAGAATGATAGGAACTGCAGGGGAGGAAGCACAGGGCGTTCAAGCTGAAAATACAGTATGCTGCACATTGTGTGTGCATAGAAATCCACTGCGGTTTCTGGTGAGCATGGGCATCTTTAAGACGAATCCATGAAGTTAGCGCAAGTGTATTAATACTTTACATATTGCATATATATAAAGTTGGCTCAATTTGGAAAAATAAATCACATCCAGCAATTCCTGTCTAGTCAAAGTTGGCTTACACTTTTGGAATTTCTCAACAAGTCAGAGACCTTATCAGCTGGTGCTAATAACTGTATATAACTATACAAATAGCAAGCATTAGCACTATCAGATGGCAGCTATGTTATCTATGTATGTGAAGCATGCTAAATAATTCAGCACCGGCATGTAACATTTACAATTCATAACACTTGGCAGAACTCCCTTGTTGAGGGATGAAATTCACAGGAAATTCTAAATATTTTTTCTCCAAACATAATCCTGCATTGATAACTTTAAACATATCGCACAACTTGGGTTTGAAATTGGGTCTCCTACCTTTTCTGTGCTACATTGAGGCGGTCCTCTTCAGCTGAGTGGTCCTTTTGAGCTGCAAAAAAAAAAAAAAGAGAAAATATGGGATTAAGACGGATCATGGGGCAGATTACGGGGCAGATAATGGGGCTTTTGGTGACAGCCACTGAGAACTGCTCCCAGGAGCACCGGCGGAGTCCAGAGGGAGGCGCTGTGTTCATTAGCCATCCTTCTAGTTGTAAAGTTTGGGAGAAACGAAGAAGAAGGGCTCTGGTTTGAGATGTCATTGACGCAGCGAGCGTGTTATCCAAATCACAGTTAAGCACATTGTAAAGTTTGACGTGCTTCTGTGCGTTGACGCATGAGAGTGTCAGCCTCTGACGCCCGGGCTTGGGGCGGGGAGCGGTGGTCTGTTTGCAGAGGTGTATGTGTGTGTGTTCGACATACATGTGCATGTTGTGAGCAGAGTCGAAGCAGGGGCGCAGGGTTGAGCAGAGAGGCTTGGGAACTGGAGGCTCCTGTGGACTCCTGCCATGTAAAAGTGTCTAAATGCAAGGCAGATGTGTGCGGCGGGCCAGGCCGAGGTGCAAGAATTTATCTAGGGCCAGAGAGTGCCTGTGATCTCAGATTTATTGCATTTTTCCAGATTCATCCTTTTTACAATGATGGGGGACCTTTCCTACTTGAAGATTTAAGAGCGGGAAGTCTCCAAAAAATTGTTCAAAGGCAGGTTTGGGGGTCTTTTGGGAGAAGGTGAGCTTAAGCCTCTGACCAACCACCCCTTTTACTTTTACTCTTTTTTTTTAACATGTATGTGGGCAAGGGGGCTGAGGTAAACCTAATGAAGGGAGGTTGTGGCCATGTCTGGGATAGAAGGAGGAGGTGGGAGGAGGGAGCAGGGGGGCCGTGACCAATGGCGTTAATCTCAGTGGGGGTCAGGCTGGCGCCTGAGGTACCCCTCTGGTGCGACTGTGCAGAGGTGGCACTGGAGAGAGAGAGTGGCCGAGAGAGAGAGGATGTGTGAAGTTTCTCTTCCTCCGCTCCCTGTGTAAACATGAAACCAGTAGTCGCTAACTAGAAAGTTATGAGATGTGCATGCTGAGAGGGACAATAAATTAGGGCTTTAAAACTCTGACACACTTTTCTAAACCGCCGCTACACCTAGCAGCTAGATAACAAAGAGACGGAAAGCAGTCTAAGAGGGATGCTGAGGACCTTGAGGATTTCCACAAAGCATCCCTCTCTGTTTTCCTACGCCACACTCTCTATCTGAACACCGAAAGACTTCATCAAAAACAGGCTCCTTGGAGAGTTGTTATCTGGAAATTCTACTCTGACGACGTAATTCGCGGTCATCTGAAATAGTGTAAATTTTTGTTTTTGGGGCCTGAGTCACTGACAACAAAGAAAAGCGCACGGATGTGTTGATGCACATGTATTCCCTAGGAGAGCCAGTGGAATGAGACTGACACAGGCTGAGATTAAAAGCAGGGATTTGTTTTCAATTAGTCGTGGCTTGTATTCAACACGAAAAATATGCCCGTCACAGTATCCACAGAGGTTTCAACGAGAGCCTATTAAAAAGGAAAACAAAAAGGTGGTTGATTAAATGTCAAGAACCACTGCGGTCTGATCAGAGAGGCTGTTTATTTTCATTTTAACTTAACATCAGAGAGTAGCTCTGACAATATACAATACAAGAAAAAAGGTGAACGTTTCAGATGGTAGGGAGGCTGAAAATCTGAGCAAAACCAGTGACGGCACAAGCACAGGAACAGCCTTACGAGAAAATGGATCACTGGGTTTCAGAGGTATCCCCTGTTAGATCTGGGAGAGATCACACAGGCAAGTTTAAGAGGCAGAGCGCAGGGCGTTTGGGTTCACCTGCAGGGCCTGCTGTGAGCTTCTCCACAGGCTGGGTTACAGGTCAGTGCAACTCAGAAACACAACTCTCTTAGTGCAAAGTCTTTATCTGCCGATTCTCAGGTATACTTTGATCCTCTTGTATGAGTAAGAAATTACACTATGCGGTATGTATTTTGTGGCTTAGTGATTAATTTAAATTTAAAATCATGTGTCAAACACATGCATCTGCGGTCAACCTCCTCAGCGTTTACCTGGGTGAGAAATTCACCCATTTCGCTGATGAGTCGGAGTATAAAAAGCCTCAGATGGTCTTTGATGTGAGAACTGTTGCTTTGTTTTGCCTTTTGAAGTCATGGAATCATCACGAACAATGATTATACAGCGCTCCTCCCAAAGCACGGGCAATGCGGCTCGAGGAATCCTGTTTATGAAAGAAAGGTTTACAAGTATTCCACTGGAAAGTTTATGCTCAAGATGTGGCTCTGCGAACCAATGCCATTTTGTAGCCAGTGGCAACTGCGGCGGTTTTAAAAGCTTTCAAATATTCAGTGATACTGAGCAAAGCTCCAGGAAGGCTTTGGCACTCAGAAGTAGTTAAGGTGGATAAACTTGCTTGAAAAATGTCACGGCACAATTCTATTTCAAGAATACAGACTCAGAATGCAATAACACACATCTTTTCAGGAATTGTAATGCAAACACAGACTCCCTATATATTTTATATATAAATATGGCTACAGTCTCCCTGTAAGATACCTCATCTGACTCTTTATGATAGAGTGACTCTATTCTCTTTCTGCCCTACTAAGAGAGTAAGTAAGTAATGCAGGCCAATATTCCAATGTAGTCTATTCCCAGTGTGAACTAAGACTTTGATACAGTATTGTGACTTAATGCTCATCAACACATCTAGTCTAGTAACAAAGCATCTAGTCTCTAGTCTTTCTTGGTATCTAGCCACGTGGATAGTTTTGGTTATTTTTTCCCTGGGTTTTGAGATATCCACTTTTCGGATTGTGGCCTTTTTTTTTTGTTGATGATTACATTAAAATAATTCCTGCTTGCATAGTGGTTCAAGTTGCTTACCATACAAAATGTTTCCAGTTCAATTCTAGCACGAGATCTTTGTAGCATGTTATACTGTATCCATCTTTCTCTCTCTCTCTCTGTATATTGACTAGCGTTCAAATTGTCATATACATAAACTATCTATACACTAATAAATCCAACACCTCCCCCCAAAAAACAAAAAGTCAAATGTGTATCTGTGTACAATTTTCAGAGTGACTATTTGTTTAGTAGAAAAAGGTGCCAATGAAAACTGTTCACAGTGAGATTTGTTGATCTTTTGGCAGGGACGTTGTTTATGAAGGACAAAAAAAATGACAGAAGCATAAATTAATAAATAAATGTAGGAATAAATGTATAAATACCGAATAAATATATATATAAATACATACGTCAATAACAGAACGTAAAAATACATAAACAGCCATTTTCATTGCCATTTATTTTATGTATGTATGTATGTATGTATGTGTAGGTCTGGTCTCTCATGTGAACTGTAATCTACACTAATCTGTTGAGTCCACAGGCCGCAGCACAGGATACAGTCCTATATAAAAATATCAACCTCACTAAGATAAAAAAAAGTGGCCCAAAACAGGTAACATTTCTTTGAATGCTTGCATCCCGAAGTCAGACAGCACCAAAAATATGTGAGGATTCTCGGCCAAAGGAATCAACGGAAGACCTTTGAGGCAGAAACTGCGAGCTGGTGGATTTAAAACTGAATCAAGTGATGTGACAGCAGGAGAAAGAGTTGGAGCCATCTGTGGCAAACTAAGGTTCCTTAATGGCATTCACTCAAATACAGAGCAAGGTTTGTGTATAATAAAGCTTTGGTGAAACAAACGTAGAGCAGCACGTAGGTGTCTAATGGCCGGCATGGACCATCACTTTAATGATAAGAGAGCCATAACTCTGGAAACAGTACACACAACCAAAAATACTACTGGTGTTTAAATTCTTACACTACAGCACTTTCCTTCTGCAGGACAAAAGTAATGCTGGCTGAAAGGGACTTAGATTCTGTGCACCTTGCTTTCTTGGTAACCACTACACCTATAATGCAGGGTGGGCAGAAGAGAGCAGTACCGGTGTCTCTGGGCTCCTGTCCCGGTGGTCCCCAGCCCTGACACACTAAGGCTGGCGAGTCTTTACAAGGCAGCAGCCAGAGATGTCCCGCCAGCTTTATGGCATCCGAGAGTACATGAGAACCATGTTAGAGGCAATGTGATCCCTTCTACAGGCCTGTAGACTCCTGTCCTCATGCTGTCTTACAGCGCACCGAGACGCCCTCTCCCAGCAAGGACAAACACACACACACACACACACACACACACACACATACATGCACTAAGACGCAACTTCTGCACCACCCAGCTGACTGTCTGACACGGCAAAAAAACATAATTATACCTTCCTCTTTTTAAAAGTCCCATGCTGCGTGTCTGGGTGAAAACGCAGCTTTAGTAGCTCTGTAAGCTCGGTTTCATGACTATCTCCTCGGCTGTAAATCCTCTGCCCACATGAATGCTTCATCTTTGAAGATGCTAAGAATTTTTCTTTCTTCAGGGCCCTTCACAACTTTACATGAGACAGGCCGGCTTATGGGATGGACTGAGGGCAAACATCGGCGAGAACTGGAGCTGCATGCATGATTTGCGGGGAGTGGGAGAAGATTAAACAACTCGTGCCTCCTCTTGACTGACACAACTCTAATTATTTCAGTGGTAGGAAATATGCTCTGATTACTATCAGTAAAAGAGAACATAAAAAGGTTTCACATACAGCATATTTGTGTATTTGAGGGGGAATCTGTTATTTAGTACATTGTGTTAAAGTGGTAATCAATGATTTCCTAATTTGTTGTTTAATTTTTTTTGCTGTCAAGGGTCGTTGCTGAGCTGTTTTGGCACTGCACTCTTCAGTTTCTACGTCACATGCATCAATATATCTGTTATTTTCTTTTGAGAAACATTATGTAAAATGTTTCATCATCTAGACATTGCCTCCAGTTACATCAATGATCTCCTCGTTCCTCATTCCACTCAACTACTCTGATCCTCAAATCTTGCCCTCTTATCCGCTCCCTGCCCCAACTGCAAGGCAAAACATGACCGCGTCTTTACTCGTTTCAGCCACAACCCTCTGGAATCATCTTCCCCAATCACTCAGATTTGCTGAATCTTTGGACTGTTTTAAGCCGCTCCTTCAAACACATCTTTATAGGCAAGCCTTTTTTTTCCTTGCCTGTCTTTTTTTTGTGCATTTTTGTTTGGTCTGGCTCCTGTGTTTCATTTTATAACTTATTCTTCTCTTCCTATTTGACTTATTTATATTTGTGTGTGTGTGTGTGTGTGAAGCACTTTTTAACTTGTATTTTTCAAATGTGATAAATGAATAAAGCTTTACTCACTTTCTTCATTAACTACACAATTAAAGGGATATTTATTTACAAACATTTTAATTTAAAAAGTAAAAGTAAAACTACAAAGTAAAGAGCAAAATGGATACGATGTTCCCATAATCTTTCTGTGTCTACAGTTTTGATAAAGGTCTTAGCTTGACTTACCAGCAGAGATAAATCCATCCATCTTCTCCTTGAAGGGCTGGAGGTTTTCCTCTGACGAGTTAGCACACACCTTCTGGACGTTCTTCTCACAAGCTGGTAGAGAGAGCAGAAAAGAGAATGGAGGGAAAGGATGAGTGACATAACAGGCGGAAATGTCTCTTCATAAAAGGGAGAGGACGAACAAGTCCTTTAGGGATTCAAAAAAATTATAAAAACTAATTAATAACACAGGTTCATCAGAATGGGGTGAGGAGAAAGACAAGATCATTTAAAGTAGGATATGGTCATTAAAGTAGAAAAACTACTATGTCTTATACCCTCAAAAACAGAAATATTTTGAGTTATATATTCTATTTTGTTATTATCTTCTCTTCCTGTAACTGTATTCTTTCTTTTTTTGTAAAGTGTATTAAGATTCTGTGATTTTGCACTCAAAATACATCTACTTACTAACTAAATATGCCACCATGGAAAGCTGCAGACACACTATTTTCCCCTTTTTTTTGTTATTTAGTCTTTTTATCCCTTGATCCCCTTGTTTTGGATATTACTGGGCGAAAGCATACCTTGGTTTACAAAATCAGTAATGCTTGAATGTTGTTTTACATGTTGTTGCTGTTTTTGATGTCTTAATATTGTACATGTGAGCGCAGCAGATGTGTTTGCTGTTTGTGGATGGGTTTTTTTCGTGCGGCGCCAAATGACCCAGCTCACACGAGCTCAGAGGAAACAGCCGTGACAGAGCGTGTTCCAGCCGAACCTTCCCCATTTCCTCTCAACTGTAAGCCCGGGTTACTATACACACACACAGACGCCTGCTGAAAGAACTTTGGCACATTCCTCCAACCTGTAAGTCATTAATGGCTGCAATAAATACCTTCACTTGCTTATGACTGCATAGCTAAATAGTTCTGCAACACAACAAGAGCATTAACAGGTCTGGCCGCCGTCTCACTTCACTGCGTCGCTGCTTTTAGATCAGAGTTTGGCTCTCATATGTTTGGAGCCGCTGCACCTGCAGCTCCGTAAACTCAGTCTATTACATCTTTTATTTATTGGCTGTCTTAATAAATCAAGACAAGAAACACGACATCTGAGCATTAAAACTAAAGAGTAACTACGTACAGCCACACAGTCTGGATTCCAGGACACTTTTGAAATTCGTGGATAGTGAGAGCCAGCAGTTATCAAAATAAAAAACAGAAATCAGCAACCATACAAACATGACAACCAAAATATCCTGTTTGGACGAACCGCATTTCCTTACCAGAAATCCCCCAACTCAAAAGGACCCATTAAAACAGTGTTCAAAACAGCAAGTCTACAATTTAGAGGCGGCTCTCTTCCAAATGTGGTCCAGACAGCAAAGGCCGCAAGGAGGAAGCCCACAAAAACACAGCAGCTGTAAAGAATAAAAACTAAAAGCTCGCATTTGAGACACTGTCTTGGAGAGAAAATACATTTTTTAGGAGTGCATTCAAAAGGAGGATTCTCCTCCAAGTGAATGACTGACGCCATGTATCGGGGTAGACAAGAAGACCTCTGAGCTCGGTCTTTGCCTTAAATATTAGAATATCTTTATTGGTCACACATAAAGCCAGAATGTGTGTTAATGGAGCAGTGAATGTTAATGTGTTGCTGTTTTGCACAAACAGTCCCACAAAGTTTGATGGGACAAACCAAGAGAAATCAGGTTCAGCAAAAGAGAAACTTGTGGTGATGCTCTAATATGTGTTCATATCTCACATGTTTTAAAGTATTCTGAGCATTTTAAAAAAAGGATTAAAAAAAAAGTTTGTATTTAAGTAATTGTACATAATTTCTGCTTTGATTAGCTTAATAAATAGTTCAATTTTGAGAAACAAATTTTTTCCCCTTATTGTTCATGTGACCTTACTAATTTTATTTTGTGTATTTCTTACAATTTGGACTAAGTGTGTAATTTTGACTAAATAGCATATAATATATAACAAGGACTTAGTAACAAAATAAAGATAAGCCCATTCATATCTACAAAGACCTTAAGTAAGAGATAAACAGCATTTATATTTTGGCTTATCAAAAATAAATTATGCAGATATAGATTAAATAAATACATTTGAAGTTAATTACACACTAAAGATCTTCATACAATATGTCATAGGGAAATCATAGATTTCCTTGGTTAAGGTAACATCTGATTAAAAATGTATGTTTAATTACTGTTCACTGTTACAATAGCGTCTGTTTGTGACCAGTGAGTAACACACAGCTCATTTTCCAATTCACACCAACAGCTACAGTGTCAACCCTCGGGCTGCTGGTGGCACAGTTTGTCCCATGCCCCAGTTATTTATTTTTTTATCTTTGCACATTTCAAATATCATTATGTGTCCCACTGATATAATATGATGATATCATATATATTATGATAGATATAAAATTATTATGTGTCACACTGCTAACTTGCAGATTCCCTCGACATTTTTTGCACAGCTCTTCACTCATTTATTTAAGTATTCAGTCTTATTGAGAATATTGTCTCTCCTTTTATATTTGTATATATTGTCTCTTTTTATTTTCTCTATTTTTTATGTTTAACTATTATGCACCAACTTAAGCAAATTCCTTGTATGTGAAAAGGCTCTCTGTCCAGTCATGCAGCCACAGAGGACTATTTTCCCACCACAGACAGACAGGATCATGAAGGGGAGCCACAGCACCAATCTTTAAAGCTCTTCCACTGTTACTACCAAAGGAAAACAGATGAGATTACAGCCGGTGCACTCTAACTGCTATTGTATTCTCATCAAATCACTGAACAGAGGAACATTTCTGTACGGCTAGAAGTCAGTTGTAAAACCAGTCTGTCCGTCCCGACAGAAATTAACAAATTTATTAACAAGTGTTTTTTATGGACTGTGTTAAACCAAAAGAAATGAGAGCCTTTCCCAAGCCAGATCTGAGCTTCCATCGGCAAACACATCCAACCAGAGCCACAGGTATGCTGGTGCAGGAATAAACACACTGAATCAGAGCTCGTATCCTGAAGGCATCCGACACTTACAAACATGCATCTACATCCCCAGAGGAATCATTGCCCAATGGAGGTAACATGACAACCAGTTGTGGGTAAGGGGTGGTGGAGCAAACGGGAAGAAAAACAAACAAGAAACTTCTGCTCCAGGATTTACCCTGTGTGGTTTGCAAAATGGGTGACTTTGATGTCAATAAGTACTTATGATTTCACCACAGCAAGCAAGAGCCCCCACTGCAGCTACCGGGAAATCACAGCACACCAAGACAATGCGCGACTGTCTGTGTGTGTGCGGATTTGAGAAAATGCTCAAACAGTGGATGGGGAGCGGATGCGGAGCACCACAAGATGAGAGAAACTAGCTATTTGAGAAATGTCTCAGAAATGTCTCAGAAATGTGGCCGTAATGCCCCGCCACCTCCTGTCTCTGTAGCTCTGGATCGTTATTAAAAGTTAATACTGAGGGAGCAAACTAGTAGACAGTAAAACACATCACATTACACAGGTGATTTCATTTTGTGCACGTTGTTACTACAGTTCCAACTAATGCAACAATTTATTTCAAATATTTTTCCTTTCAGTTCTATAAATGCATGTATGTAAAATCAGTTGGTGAACCTCTTAAGCCTTGCTGTACAGTAAAAGATTTTTATCTGGAGGTATTATTTCACTTTTTTACCTTTCATCAGAGGTTAAACCAGTACAATGCTCTAGCCCTGGCATATTCTAGTTATTTATACCTGGAAAAGTGAATTCTCTCACTGATCCCCAATTATCTCCAAACCCAGCAGTCCATCACATTTCCAGTTCGCCTTTCTAAGAGATAAAGCCTACTAGTCCCCTCCTCGGTGAGGCCAGCCAGAAGACAGCTTCAGTAGGGCAAGGTGAGAAACACTCTCCCCTTTCCACTCCTCATAAATCAACTTGAATTCATAAAACTATAACCCTTCTCCTAAATTTCTGCAGAGGAATACCACGCTGACAGGCAGAAACTTCAGGCAGGACTCACAATATGAGGTGAAGCATTAACCTTTGTGGATGCAGGGAGCATCAAAATAACCCTGGTGCTGCCCGATGAGAGAATGGCTAATGCAATGATTCATTTATTGCCTCAAAACAAAATCTATCTACAATACTAGCTCAATGTTTGAAGAGTTTTCTTTAGTAAAAGAAACTCTATATCAGGTTGTATTGTTAAATAAAAGAAGCTTTCATCAACATATTTTAAGAAATATATCAAAAATTCAGACAAATTTGATTAATAATTAAGTCCCTCTCAGTTTAGACTTTTCCCTGAACTGCCATTTGCAACTCATCACAGACACATACCCCAACGATTAGCATTACTTTTGTCTTGTTTAGTCAGACGACTGTACTTCAGCAGGCCGACTTCACACATGCTGTTCCGAGCGGAGCCTCCGTCGTAAAACAGAGCTCAGGCTAAAGGCCCTGCCTGAACCTGACATTAAAGGCCATTTAAAATCAGGACACTGTCTGATTTGCCACTGTGATGAATGCCTAACCCGGGCCAGGCCTTCTGTGAAACACTAAACTCCTCTGAGCAGCAAATGAGCTCTGACTGTTTCTTTTTATTTGATCCTATTTCATTCGGTAGCGTCCCTGCCTCTCTGTCCGGTCCAATTACACGGCAGTTAAAGGGATCTTTATGTAGGTACTCACCGGTCTGAGAGTGGTAATCTTCCGAGTTTGATCAGCAACTCCTCGTGATAGCGCTGAAATTGTACTGGGAAAGATAATCTTTGATTTGGGTGCTGGGTTCCAAAGCTAATTACACTTTTATACATGATTTGAGACAGAATAAAAGATATTTGACTTTATTGGGGCTGAGAGTCCTACAGTAACTTTAGGTCCTTGTGGCCTCCCACTCATCCCTCTCCCCCCTGAGAGGAGCACAAAGAGAGGTCATCACCCTCTCCCCAAACAGGAAGCCCCATCAAAAGAGGATCATGTTTCTGCACAAGCCAGTGACGGAGAGGGCAGCCAAGACGGACGGTGACCGGCTCCTGAGCATCGCTGATATCTAGACGCTGCACACACACGCATCAAAGGCGCAAACGTGTAATCACATCTGCAAACACACTCATGCGCCAATTTGAATACAGTATGCCGAGATTTGTGTGAGAGAGGCGCCCGCTGATGCACACAGAGAAATTCTGTCTTAAGAGGCTAAGCTAAGCTAGGAGTGATGAATTTCTGACTGCTAGCACCAAGTCTCCTGACCTCTGACCCAAGCCTGGAGGGCAAGACACTGCAGTCGCCACCTCAGGATCAGGTGAGGGGCGGGCGGCCTCACTCGTCTCAGTCAAACAAGAGCGAGTAAGCCAAAGTGTGACTCAGTGTTAGCCTCTCGGTGTCAGACACAACTCACAATGTGGATGGAAGTGATCTGTGTTAGCTTCATAATTAGGACCACTTGCTTTCTTTAGGCTGGTTTATAATAGCCAGGCATAAATATTTATTCCTGGCGGCTGGGGAGGATAAAAATGGTGGGAGTCAGAGGTGGAGCTCACCAAACATTCAGAATCCAATGCTCACCCTATGATGCTAATACCCCCGAGGACTACTGTGCCAGACTGTGCCGCAGCAGAGATCAAATACGTTGCATTTATTGTCTTCAGGTCTTCCATTTTTCCTAATAAATGAGTGACAGCTTGACGTGGGTCTGGGTACTTTAGTAGACTCTTTGTATTTTTCCCCCGGGTCAGAGAGGAGAGGGCTTTAACAGCGATCTAAAAAACGAAGGGGAGAGCTGTGGAGCATATCTAATTGCTTTCATATGCCGTATTATTGGTTGATTTAAATAACCACAGACACCAGGGGCACTGGGGGGCATCGCCTTTAACCTCCGTGTGGCCCTGGCCAAGACTGGCTGGCTGTCTGGGTTACTGACTGGCCCGTGACACTTTGAGCACCAAAAATCGTGTTTACTTATTTACCTGCCAATTATCACTCTTATGCTTCGATAATCAACTGGAATTTGTGTTTTGGATTTTATTCCTGCTTTTCAGAGCAAAGAAGTGTAGATGCTTCTTTGGTGAGCTGTTCCGTCATTGGTCCTGAAATAGGAGAGGCTGCAGTGTTACAATGACACAAGAAGCTATGTCTGGAAACTGGGAAAAGACGCCTCAGGCCATCCAAGGTCTTGAATACACCCACGAACCGCTCTGGACAGGGAGGGAAGGGTACATGGGATGTACATTTCCATTTAAACTGCTCTAGTGAAAGATGGTAATGTATACAATTACACTGAGTGATTTACAATGAAACTAATGTGACCCAAGCAATAAAATGCCATATGGTATGCAGTTTAAACCTTCATAGCCGCAGTGAAAATGAATGTACTTATATAATACAACAGGGTATGTCCTACCAGTCAGATCTTTCTTCAGCTTCCTGATGTCCTTAGTGAGGTCTTCAAACTTCACCTGAGCAGCCTGGAAGAAATCCTGAGGCTCTGGCAGAGGGAACACACTCTTCTCTGTGCCAGCATGCTGGAACAGTGGAGCGAACATAGAAGTATACGGCTGCTTAGTAACCCATGATTTAACAGCGTAAAGTTTGGTGAATTTGATTGACAGTACCTTACCTTGTCAAAATTACGCAGGTAGTATATAACAACGTAATCCACCAGATTCATACGATTGTCCTGTGGAAGAAATGACTCAGGATTAAGCTGATATTTAGCAGGAAAGCTAGCATTGCCCTGTGAGTGTAAGATTAGAAGTGGTGTGTTACCCTGCTCTTGACGTCCTTTAGTTTGGGGAGGATCTCCAGTCCAAAGCCGTCCGCCTGACCTCTTGTCCTGTTCCCTCCGTTCATATAGTTGCCAAAGGCCAAAACAAGACCGAGTACATCGCGCAAATGATTACACTCTAACAGATCCTGACACACACACACACACACACACACACACAGACAAACCCACAGCATTTGGGTTAGTAAACCTTCACGTAGCTTGATGGCACTTTTCTGAAGCAGTGTTTATTGAAGTGACGTTCTTACTTTGCAGACATTGGAGATGATGTCCACCTTGCGACGGATGGAGGAGATGGTATCGAGGAATACTGACTGGAAGATGATGCAGTGGGCTCGGCCCGCAAAGTCAGGAATCTGGGAGAGCTCATAGAGAAACCTGGAGAACAAAAGGGGAGGAGGAGGTGGGAGAGAATGGGGTGTGATGTGTTATGACAGAATTAAACAAAATGTCTAACAGGAAGAACTATTTTGGGGCAGCTGATAGTCATGAGTGGTGCTGCTCGGCTGGGTTTGAAAGGTCCACGGGGGCTTGTGGAGGGAGCACAGTGAGCGGCGCACAGAGACTGATCAAAGGTAGCTCTGGCCTGATGCGGGACGACTTATGTAAACAGTGCCGTGTCAGAGGGGAGCGGAGCGGTAACATCCTGTGTGATTAGGCCCCGCTGATGGAGGTAGACACTGAGTAGGGATGACTCGGGTAGCCATAGTGACAGCTCTAGTCAAACATGGGAATAAGAAGGCTGGGCTGAGCGGCACTACTGGGTCCAGGCCTCGTTAACTGGCCAGGACTACTTAACCCTGACAGGAACTATGGAACTACTGAAGCAATGTCCATTAATGCATATTAATAACACACACAAAGCTGTAGAAGTAGAACACTATTATTTATTTATGGTTCAACTTGTTTGAATGAGTTTTTTAGTGAACAAAAACAACCAATTACCTATGAATCCAAATAAGCTAATAAATAATTAGAAACATGTCACAAACCTATATAATTTAGTTTAGCTAAATACTAGTTGGGCAAATAAATACTGATGGCACTAAACTTAATATATGAACTGAATATGAATTTCTCTGATAAATAATTTATCATGATTTATGAATTTCATTATGAACTTACTGTTCAGGTTTGTCGAGCAGTTTGACTTCATCTTCTTTAGATTTCTCATAATGTCTCATTATCTTGTCCATCTCATCACTAGTGGCCCTCTATAAAAGACACAACACACAAAGATCAAAATCAATCAATATGGCTAAATGTGTTCAATAAGAGAATCTGAATAGGTACTGCAGTTGTTGCAGTGCAAGATGCTGCACAATGACAACAATTATTTAGATAACAGGCAGCGTACTCTAGTAAAACTAATTTGTAGCAGTAAAACTAACAAGGTTTTCTCTATTTTCTTTAAAGCTGTCAGATGATTTTACAACCTTCGGTTTCTCCATTTTTTATTACATTGGACAGACTGCTCCTTCATACTTACATTTTCATATAAAGCCTCAATGGTCTCCAAATCCACCACAGAGTTGTCCACAGTAAGAACAGCTGGAACAGTAAAGATATTCATTATAAGCAGTCAGTCTTATAAATGGATAAGATCTTGGCCAAAGCATGCTGCCTTTTAAGTGTTGCCAGTGCTTGAAGACCAAACTTGTTTTTCCGACTAGGGACGTAAACTCATGATAGCCCTGTAATTTTGTAAAACTTTGGTTGACATAGAACATTATATTTTTGGCAAACTCTATGTAAGACATACTATATGTTAAAATTTATTTGTAAAATTTATGTCAAAACCAGGAAAAAAAGAGCAATATTTGAGCAAAACCAGGGTGCTACTAGTGTCTACTTGCATCTCCACTTCACCAACAACCAAAACATTCAATTAAATTCATCCAATTACCATGTAGATAAACTTACTACATGTAATTTAGGATATTAGCTTTAGATGGTTAAGCTGGTAGTGTTGTTAGGCTTTCAGGGCAGATAAATATGGGGCAGACAGGGTCTGAGAGCCTCCTCTGGTGAAAAACGAGCGCGAAACAGAGGATGCGGGAGGAGGTGAAAGGAAGAGGGAGAAGAGAGAGAGAGAAAAGGGTGAATAAAGGCTGGCACAGATTGTGATTTAGACACCAAAAGAGTGAGAACTAATATGAAAAAGAAGGAAATTTCTCGACATCCTTCACCTGCAGGCTTTGTTTATCTTGACTCGCACAGTGAAAAAAAAGGGCATGGGGAAAAGTGCGCACGGAAGGCAGAATGTAGAGGACGGCGCAAAAAGAGAAAGTGACTCCTGTTCTGTGTCTGAGAGGTGTCACAGGTTTATGGCTTAGTGAGGGAGGAGGCGAGGAGTACACAGTGGGAGGGATGGCTCCAGTGCTGCTGGATCAGCTGACAGTTGTCTGCTTGGTGTCATAACCGAGGAGGGCTGCACGCCACCTACTGCTCTCAAATCAGTCCCTTGATGTGACAAAAATCACCATGACCAAGCATAATTCAGGAGAAGAAAAAAATTATGTAATGACAATTACACACTAAATGTATTCAGTGTTATAAAATCTAGCTTAAAGTTTGCTCACATTACCAAACCAAGTAACTTTTGCTCAGTACCAGACACCAGTGACAATTACGCGATGATGGTAAATGGTCAAATGTTTGTAAGAGTGCCGCAATGCCAGTTCTACAGCAAAATCTGGTGGTCTTATAATAAAAGTGTTGAACTGAAAAAGGATGTAATTTATATATTATATATATATATATTTATTTAATTAAACATCAAATTTGCAAGGGGAAGAATGTGTTCATATTATTCTGCTAATATTATACTATATTTAGACAAAATCCATGTAGGGCAAAAAAGTTTCAGGTAGAAAAATGTTTATAGCAATGCTAAAAAGGGTACCATGTACCATGTATCGTAGTAACACAGGTAAATGCAACAGTTTTAACAACACAGCCCTAGCCTTCTCAACCACACACTGTTTCCAGCTAACAAGGTAATACTTTGCATTCTGGTTCCCAGCTGTTTCTGTTGCAGAGAAGCTGTCAATGTGGTCCCAATGCCTGGATCAGAGAGAACGCTGGAGGTCCATTTCCTACATCTTATTAGAGTGGATTATTCAGTCCCTCAGCCATGCAGCCGTCAATCACACACCAAAGGGGGGCCTGCTCCAGTGTGCACAGGAGCACTCTGATCCGAGGGGAGCCGGATATCTCTCCACACCGACAGATCAAAGCCTGCCTGCCAACCACCTCACACCCTCTCCTTCCACTTTTCACTCATCGGCTTTGGTGTGGAAGGGCATGTGTGGTGTGTGAACATGTGTATGTGTGTTTGTGTGCGTGTGGTGAGGTGGTGTGTGGGGGAGAGCCTCCCTTTGCCCTTGAACCATGGTGGCCCTTGAGGTCCCCCAGTCACTCCGGCGGGTGCAGTTGACCCCCTCTCTCCCTGAACCCGAGTGCTACCTTCTCTACTCCCCTACCTCTCTCTCTCTCCCTCCCTCCCTTGTAGCTCTAATTACATTACATGTCCCATGTCCTTTTAATTTGACAACAAAGGGGAGGCAAGCAGGCAAGGCCAGGGACCGGAGCCCTTAGAAGTTGTTATTAAGGTGCTGTCCTTCATTGTCAGATTCAAATTGTTAATTTCACATACACCTCCCATTAAAGCACAAGGAAGCAGCCCCACGCTGAGTGTGAGCAGGCCTTTTTTTTTTTTTTAACCAAACCACCTCTACAAACTGACACTGGAACAGAGAGAAAAGGATTGAAGGGAAAGGGAAAAAAATCTAAACAAAATGGGCGTCCTGGTGGTATGCGCTGTTTGGCCTGTGTTTGAGGTGGTTTTATGTGGTAGCGCAGTGTCTGCTAACTGTGGAAGGTGGTTTTGTACATGTTCAGATCATTAGTGGGGTGTCAGTCCCATTAGGCTTGTGGAAACCGTCACTGGCTACAATAAACAGATCTGCTGGCCGCATGCTCAGACTAGCAGGCGGCAGGCACTCTCCGCCACAGTCCCAGGACAGGACCAATTCCTGGCCCATCTACGCTGTCCCCAACACACATATTATGTGTTTACACACACATACAGCCACTTCAACACACACGCCTGCATTTTTCCATAACCAAGCGTGTAATCAATCTACACAGCTCTTCCAATAAAGGAAATGGCAATTTGATTTTAAGCAGTGCAGGAGGGATTTCAAGCTGCCTGACAGAAAAACTGAACGGCTGCTTTCGTCCCAGCGTTGCCGTCTTCACATTTTGACTAATCGAGGCATTTTCTTTCCCACTGTGGTGGTAACTGGAAAAATCATCCACGTTCCACTTGAAACACAAATGAATCCAAAAAAAATGTCTCTGGTTACAAATTAGTAGCTGTCAAGAGGTCGGAAATTATTCTCCGCTGCAGGGCTCGCTATCTCATCTCTAAAAATAACTCCATCTGCATTTCATCAGGTGTCATCCTCAATTTATTGTTAAATGAGACTGTAAATTCAGTTTATTACTGTTCAATCTAAATAAGAGCTCCTTCCTTGAAAGAGGTTTAAATGATATCATAGTGTGCACAAGCTCCAGACATGTTGAACAGATCGACAGAAAATAGTTTTCACCTTGCTGAATGTCCTTCATCTCCAGATGCAGGCTTGATATGAGGATGCCGACTGCTTGTGAACGCTTCCCATCCAGGAGCTTGATAATCTGGAAGAACAGAAATCGAACAGAAATCAAACAGAAATCAAATGAATTTGCATTGTCAAGATGCCAGATTAGCAGCGTAAAATCCACAGTATGCATTTCAGCTTATTTCAGCGAGGCTTAAATTGCCTCATTTCCTTATCTTAAATAATTTAGCAAGTTCGTGGTTTCAAATTTCAACAAATATTATTGTTAATTACCTCATAAAGCAATCCAAAACCGCCTCATACATTTTCTATCATCAACTCTATTATTAAACACTGACATAACACAATTCAACAGATGTTGAATTAAAAGTTAATTTCTGTGATGAGAAGCCGGGTAAAAATCAATTAGTCATGTCCCCGGCTGTGGAAGCAGATGATAGATGATGAGCGAAGCAGAGCGCCTGAAGTCCCAGTTAGTCTAAGTAGCCTGGGAATGATCTGGGTTTACCCAAATGACCAGACTAATCAGCACACATTGTCATAACCCATCATCATGCTGCCAACGACTGGGGAAACACGCAGCACACACACACATAGCCGGGACACACGTTAAGTTAATCAATGAGGGGAGCAAAGTGGAACAGAAAAGCACCTCCTCCAGTTTACTGAAGAACATGTGTGAGATATAATCAAAAAATATCAAGTCGCAGTGAAAGTACAAAGGCAAAAGTGGCACCATAAAAGGACAGTCTAGAAGAGCAAGGCAAAGAGAAGCAGGGCTTTTTATAACAAACTATAAATTCACAGGATTTTTATTTGTGCATACACATGGTCACAATTACTTATGACTGAATTAGCCGTAAAGCCAGAGAGAGTTTTGGCAAGGTAAAGCCCCGCTCTAAAAGTTAATGTGTCAGGCTTCTTCATTAGGTATTATGGCGTTGTCGGCTACTGGGCTGTCCAGTGGGAGCTGGAGAGCAGAAGCCTTAGAAGTGGGTATTGCATTACAGGGCGTTAGTGGGTGCCATGCTGCTTCCAGCTCTATTACCTGGATCACTGGGGATCTCCCATTCTAAGGACTTGAGACGGCTGAGTACCAGGCTTTCCCAACACCTCTAATTAACCACTTTGGACGGGCCACACTAAAAGCAAACCAGGAACCCTTCCCGCTCACCGTGGCTGCAGAACTCGCCAATTAGCCTAAACAGTTACGTTAATGAGAAAAGACAACTGATGCTGGATGCTTGGTTTCAGACACGCAAACAGCTTGGCTAAGCGAAGGGAGCCGCTTGATGCTGATGCTGAGACAGGTAGGCATGAATAGCAGACGGCTCCCTCCTGTGGACAGAAAGAGAACTGAGAGACACTCGGAGGCTTTCATTTGAAACTGCTCTGGACACTTGAATAACACAGACAGGTCAAAAGGAAAGAGGAGGCGAAGAAAAAGAAGAAGAGAGAAAAAGTGAGCCGCCTATGAAAATAAACAAAATGATGGAAGGAGACTCGGGGAGTGTCAGCAGTTTGAGCTGAAGCAGGTGGCTGATGTTAGGCGAGGTGGGCAGGGTGATGCAGGTTCACAACCGAGGGGATAGTTTACACAGCCCCGGCTGAGCAGCCAGCCTTCTCCGTGGTTACTGTCTGTCTGACTATCTGTCTGGAATCACCCAGGCAGATGTTTCAATAACAACTGGATCAAGACTTCCCATCAATAACCACCTACAATACACTCAACAACCCCAGTGTCACCCAGCGGTGTTAGTCTTACACCCACTCTCCCACGTCATAGCCTGAGCTACAAATATGTCTTTAATAAACGCAGTATGATTGCTCATAAGTTATTCCCATAAACTGGTTAAAGCTGCTGTTTGTTTAAGGAGATCCCCCGTGTATGAACTTGATACAAGTTTGATTTATGTGGTTAGAGGAAATGGCCGTTTTTTGTGTTTACTTACGTGCATATTTGCACACATACAAACTCAACCGCACATTTAGCTTAATAATTTCTTCATCTTCATCCATCTCTCCCTCACCCCTAAGCCCCCAAATCAAGAATGCACCGACATGCCCATTCTCTCCGCTCCCCCCGACTCCTATAGGTGCCCCATCTTCATCACCTCCTCTAGCCAGCGGAGTGGAGCCACATGCCTGCAATTATACCCCTGGTCCAGTCGGGTCCGGTCTGCTCGGGTGGGAGCGCTCTCTTCCATGTCATCTCCTCTGCTTTGATATGCTAATCAGCAGAGAGAGAAGGGCTCTAGAGTAAACAAGAGCTTTGATTTTTCTATGGCACACATGATAAAGATTAACTTACTCATGTAGGCATCGGCTGCATCCCCCGAGTTTCAACTTTTGGCGTGTGGAGTTGTTGGAAAGCGGGGAAGTAGCTCATATGCATAATGTACACACACATTCCATTCCCTCCCACTCATCTCCTCTCGCCGCACAGAGCCCCGGGCTGTGGTGTTAGCATGATCTGGCAACACTTTCTGAGCAAGTGCATAATGGCTTTTGAGGAGGTGCCGTCATCAAGCCCACAGACGGACATGCACACACACACACACACACACACACACACAAACAAACACATGTCGGCGCATATACAAACACACAGAAACAAACAAAAGTGTTTTTTTGTGCACAAGTGCGTGTTGACAGAGACAGGAGGCAGGTAGTCTGCGTGAGTGTCCACTGTCTTTGGTAGTCACGCAGAGGGACAGAGACCACTGTCTGGTCAGATTCTGCAGAGTAAACCAACCATGTTAAGCCCCCCTAACATCTAGCATGTTATTATTAAACAAAAATTACACAACGAAACTAACGGAATTAGTAGTAAAAAAGAATCTAAATCTAAATTGTGAGAGGCTTTCAAATGATTAATTCACATTAATGCTATAAGAGAAATAGCCAATCAAAAATACGGATATATATTGATACCTTTGTTATTCTGACAAATTTGTATGATCTTATTTGTAAAGTTAATTTATTTTATTAAATCTTTAATATCTTCAATTAACCCCAGAAACTAACTAGAGCTGAAACAACATTACTTGATGGTCAGAAAATGAATTGGCAACAATGTTAACTGGTTCTGCTGTTTTTAATATGTCATCATGGTTCTGGGAACTTATGATGGGTAGTCTATACACCAATGATTCATTCATTAACTGAGAAATAACCTGTAGATTTATAGATAATCAAAATAATTGTTAGTCTCGTACTGAAATAATATAATAAGGAGAATATATCAACACAATGATGAGTGCAGTCAAAAAAGATGCATGAAAATATACTTCAATCAGAATCAAAGCCAGCTTTATTCCTTTGCACCACTCAGGAATGCAAAAAAAGGAGCATGACAGGGCACCCTGGTGGCTCACCAGGTAGAGCTGGCACCCCATGTACAGCGGCTGAGTCCTTGCTGCAGCGGCCGTCGGTTCGGGCCCGACATGTGGCCCTGTCATTCCCCCTCTCTCCCCCTTTCCTGTCTATCTTGAGCTGTCCTATCAAATAAAGACAAAAAAAACCCTAAAGATAAAAATAAAAAAAGTAGTGTGACATCCTATCAAAAGCATGGCAAGGAATGATACCCTGACTTAAACTTAAACAATTTTTTTGGCTTTTATTGCCATGGGGTGCCAGCTCTACCAGGTGAGCTTCAGTGTAAATATCATCCTACAAGGAAGCAGCATTTACAACTGTCAAGCTAAAACTATTATGGATTATACATATAATATTATAATATTTCAGTCAAAACCTGTATGATAAATTACTTTTATTTTGAAATGTATGAATTAGAGTAAAAGTAAAAGTAAAAAAGAGCTTATGATGATCTTTTAGTACATAATCTTACTTTCAGCTGTTTGCTAAACACAGGCCCTGGTCTCTGCTTGGTGGCTGAGGGACTAAACACCCACACCCTCACCCATTCAGTCCATTCCTCCTCAAACCAGTAGCACCTAGTTTCCATCCCTGCTCTTATCCCTTCCTCCCCACCATTCCAAAAAAATCTGTTGCTCTTCGTTCTTTGCTTCCCTTCCTTTCTTTCCCACCCGTTAACCAGCTGAACTTCTTGGAAGCCATCATCAGCTGGTGATTCAGATGATTTCTTGCTCAAATGATTTCTCTCTCTTTAACTCAGAGTATAAACTTTCAGGGATAAAAAATGATTACGTAAACAAGTTTCTTTTATTTTGACGACCTTTCCAGTGTGTTGGACTCCTGAGCGGGCTGAAAACAACCATGCCTTCACGCATTCACTTTCCCTCTTTAATCGTAGAGTTGGACTCTGAATGCTCTTACAGGCTCTAAACACAGACCTTTATATTAAATGTAAGACTCCTGTATAATCACAGTGCTGGGGACAAAATGTCTAAACATAGATATCAACCCCAGCCAGTGTACCATACAGGTCTTGGTCTCAAATGCAGTAAAAAAAAGTTTTTTGATTGATATGAATTTGTTTCAGCAGTGTTTCCATTAGTGGGGTCAAACCTCTTCCAGGCTGATGTAAGCCCAGACAGGAGACAGTTGGCAGGATTTGTGTCTGGATGTGGCTGTCTGAGTTGGATCAAATGTTGGACAGTTTGCCGCTTTAGAGTGACCAGACTGAACGGAGAGATCTAAGGATGGAGATCAAGGACAGAAGAACACACACACACACACATTGGGGCCCTCTGCAGCAGAGTGGAGCCTTAACAAATTGATCAGAATAGGGGATGTGTATGGATTTAGAGGGGGCAGTCTGGGGCAGTGGCCGATTTTTAACTGCTTGGACGCCACAGTGAGGACCAAGAGGCGGCCAGGGTGCTGACGCGGCGCTGGCTGCAGCAGAGGTGCAGAGTTGCAGGATTTGACAAGACATCAACAAGTGTGTCTTCGATGGGTAAGAGAGAACGGTAGATCAATCTGGCACAAAAGCACGTCTTTGCTGATTTTCCCTAACTCGGTTCATCTTTAAAAACTAAATATTGAAGCTTGCACAGATGAGGGGAAAAAAAACACGATTCTGAACCCCCAACTTCATTCCAATCCTGCACAGTTAGCTTGCCCAGAAAAAAAACAAGGGAGTGAACTCATAAACCGATAGCCTGTGTTGGCCCAGTGGAAGACCTGGCAACTGCAGCCAACAGTCTGGAGGAAGACCTGATGAGAGCCACAATCCATTTCTGCCCACTTCACCTTTTGTTATTTCTTTCTTTGATTTACGATTGGACATGACAGCAGACAAAACGCCTCTCTCAAACAAAGCCTGATAAGAAGCTAGCAACTAACAACGCCTTCAGGTGCCTGCAGAGGGATCAAATACAAAAAATGAAGGATGAATTACGCTTCCCACAAAACCGACGTCAAGGAGAAACGGAGACGATAAGAAGATTTAACCCGAAATGAGGAGGAGTGAGTGGAGTAACTGAATTTACCTTCTTAGTTTTGGCTTTCTTCTCATAAGTGTCCGATAAGGGCTTCTTCTTCGGCTGTAGTGTGGCCTTGGAGAAAAGATCCTCAAACTCATTGGTGTTGACGATGTTTGGCTCCTCCAGGGAACCCCACAGTGTGTTGTTGCTGGAAAAAGAAGTGAAGATTTTAATCTGCGCTTTATTTTGTTTCAACTTCCTCACAACAGAGGTTATAAAGGTGCTAAAGATTTGATCACAGTCACAATGACGGTGCACTCTAGAAAGATCTAGGATACTTTCCTTGGGCTAAACAAATAGCAGGTTCTATTTGTGGAAGCTCATTTGATGTTTATTCAACCTGCCCACTGTTTTTCATTTTCCATTTCGCTGTCTGGCAAAAACTTGGCAGGAATGACGGCGATCTCGGCTTTAAAAAGCACTGTTTATGAGCTAGGTGATAAAAATAACAAAGTTTAGGACAAGCTTGTTTCTTCAATAAAGGACCATTTCCAGCAAATGAACAAGAACACGGGAGGCAATGTTGTGTTTCAGAAGTTGCTGAGTAACATGGAAAAAACAAACAGAGGCAGAAATAAGAACAAGAGGTGTCTAAAGTCAAGAGGATGTTCAGGATGTAAGCACTCTGCTGTTACCAACGCATCTACTTTTCTGTCCACTTAAACGCAACACATCTGTCTCTGCTTTCCCTCCCAGAGTGTGTTAATCAAATAGACATTAACAGCAGAGTCAACAGGCTTACTTACAGATAAACCTATTCTAGAGAAATACTTTAGAGTGATGACACTACACATGCCTAATTACTGGTACCCTTTCACAAACTGCAGTTGGTCTCGCAGGTCATAGTTTACTGATATTACACCTCAGCTGTGAGCTCATGAGACTGGTGGGTCAATCTCCCCAGAGTCAAGGTCCATTTACAATGAGAAAGAGAACCTGGATACAACACACTAACACAAGCCCTGGCAGGCTTATCATGGCTTAAATACCAGAACAATCAAATGCATTGCCAGTGACTCGATTAGGGTCGAGTAAGTCCAAGTGTTTCTGCATGCAGTTGGCTTCCTATTGCAGTGGTGAGAGTATATTTATGTGGGGTAGCCAAGAGGACATAATGATACTGTCCCAAAATCCTCCTTTGATTCTGCACTCCTTTCTGAGAGGCTGAGGAAAATAAGTCCAATGTCGACTCTGAGCCCAACTGTGAAGGAATTTAGCTTGGAAAAGAAAATTACATCCAAACCTCAAGAAATATTTCCATGCAAGACAACTTTCTAATTGACCGGATTATGACTATAATTGAATTTGAATCTCCCTTAAAGCACTTTTCTTAATGCAGCTTCCCAACAAAGTGTGTCCCGTGCCCTGACAACTGTACTTTGTGTTTGGGCTTACATTTAGACACCTGGCATCATTTCAAACCTTACACTGTTCCCCCTCATAACTCAGAACCTCACACCATTAACAGAGATCACACAGCTGATCCAGCTATAGTTAAACATCTGACCCATTTAATGCCCCTTAACTTGGCCCTTTACAGTTAAATTTATAGCCGACATGAAACTGCTGTAGTGAAGTCAGTCAGTCCTCCTGCGCTGGCCAGGACCAGAAAGAGAGAGTGCGAACCACAACTCAGCTTCCCCCACTAATCCAGCCATGGAAATACAAGGCCATAAAGCTGGAAGCCTGGCACTCAGAGGCAACAACCACAGCCACTGTAAATGGGCTGGATAATCCACTTACAATTACAGAGTATCTGGTGCACCAACCATATCAATGATATCTCTCTGAACAGAAGTGTTCAGGGAAAGACCCCATTAGACCAGGGCCAATGAAGCTCAGACATTCATCAGCCCTGGGATAACAGTTTCACTCTTAGGATATCTTCATTTCGCCCAGGACTTTCTGAACCCCACTTTGATGACATTTTGCAGAATCCCCCAAAACTAATGAACTCAATGAAATCAAGTCGAGACCAAACACAATGAAATGTTAATCATTCAGTCAAATGTTAACTTGCCTTGTGCATTCTTAATTATTTCATATTGTCAAGTATGTATTAATATAGGCTCACCGAAGCTTTTTAAAGGTTGATACTGATACTCTCAGTATTTGGGAGCTTGAAAAATAGAATGATGATATAATTGTTTTAACATAAACAAACAATATTGATACAAATCCCCAGATTAAAAAAAAAAAAAAACAGATACATACGAACTGGGCAGGAAATTCTATCGTTCAAAAATGAACTTGTCAGTGCCCTCTAGTGGACAAACCATGTAATGTTAACAAATTATCTCAAACCTAGTTGGGCATTTGTGTACTGCAATTACTTGTTACTTATCAGCTGACATATACAAACATACATACATACCAACATATCTGCAATATGCAAATATCCGTAGCTCTAGTCCTTAACCCAGTGTTTAGTGTAATAATAAATACCAACGTGAACTGAAGTTATTTAAGTCCTGGGCTTTCAGTAGCCTTGGTTTTAAATGAGTGTTTGGGCTAAGAAATGTAAGTGCGAGGAGCCATTGGGATTTTTGTGTGCTACTAATGATTTTGTGTTGCACAAAATGTCTGATATATCTCTGAATACGGCAACATCTCTACGATGAAGTCCAAATAGTCAAGAAATTAGTTGTCAGATGATTAGAGAGGTTGTAAACAAGTCAATAGTTACACCAGATTATCTACACCACTTGATTTGTTTGTAAAAATTAAAGTGAGCACCACCGACATGCCAACAATAATCCCTCATTGCACAGGAAAATTGTGTGCACACAACTATGGTAAGTACGGTAGATTGTAGTTGAACCAGGGAGTCGGCCTGTAAACTGTGATGAATGTTTACAATGGAAAGTTTGGGGAATAATTTCACCCTTAGTCTTTAATTTCTCTTTTAAAAATGTTTGGTTAATCTGGAGTGTTGTTTACAACTTGTTTAATCAACTGACTCCTTGTGTTGCACAAGGACTTCTTTATAACAATGCTGCCCCATTCCCGGATCTCTACAATGAACTTGCTAAATATACCGTTATTATTACCAACTGAAAATCAATGAAATGAAAATGCTCATACTTATTGTCCTGTATCTGGATCCTGGTCCAGTACAGAGGCTTCATGGGACAGGCCGGCTCTATGGCAGGTTTCCGTGGGGCCTTATCCACATTCTGAAGACTGAAGCCTCCCATCGGGGGAGGAGGTGGTGGGCCGCAGCCTGGAGGAGGGGGAGGCAGGCAGGTTGGACCAGCTCCAGGTAGACCAGGAGGGGGAGGCGGGGGCGTGGGGGCTGCGGCCCAGCCGCACCAGGGAAAGGAGGTGGTGGCTAGGCGGGTGCGGGCGGAGCTCGCCATGTTGCCCGGCAAAGGGGGAGGAGGAGGAGGGGGTGGTGGTCCTCCCGAGAGGCCTGGTGGGGGAGGGGGAGGAGGTGGAGGTGGAGGCGGTCCAGGAGGCCCTGGGGCTGTTTCGGCTTTTAGATTTAGTTCGATAGAGTCTAAGTCGAGTTTTTTAGGCATGTTTTGGCTGGGGCTTTGAGCAAGCCCGCCGCCGTCACCCTCGGGGCTCCTGATGAAGGTCTCCCTGTCTGTCTGGATGCCCACAGTGCGGCAGATCTTGGGGATTGGGTCATCTGCAGTGGAGACTGCAGCGTCGCAGACTTCTCCCCGCTCCTGGCCTGTATTGTACGCCCTGTCTCTTTGCATCTTGGCAATGACTCCGTCCAGGTGCGACATTGAGACAGCGTGCTCACCCCGCAGTTGGAAGATCTGGAGCTCATAGTCGGACTGTAATGAGAAAGAGCCAGAGACAAAACAAATCCAGAGTATGAGAAACATTAGACATTTCCTATTATATTCGTATCTGTTTCGTTTCCTTGAATGAACTTAGATTAAAGTGTGTAATTATTGTTCCATGGGGCATTGCATGAACGTGATTTTTCGTTGAACAATAATAATCACATTAATTTTTTTCAGCTTTGTTTTTACCCTCATTCCCATTACATTTCTCTGCAATCTGAGGTTCATATCTGACTCGTACAGTGAAAACCTGCTAACTTGAGTTTTCATTTGACATTTCAAACAATGAAGAATAATCCAAACAAAGCAAAATATTGATTTGATACAGAAAGGAAATTGTTTTGCAATAAATCTTACACATGTTCCTTGTTAACTCGTGTCAGTTTAGAAATAGAATTACGCACGTTCCCTCCTTTCTTGTGGGCTGACTGTGGTACATGTTTCTTAGTGTCAGCATCAGTCCTTTAAAGGTCGATGTCAAATTAAAGGCTTTAAGCAGACAGGCTGAGAAACCAATTCTGAGGTCAGACTTTTCAAGGAAACAGCCCATAGAGTAATTTATCAGTGGTAGAAATGATGTAACATGGCCAGAGCTATGTTCTTTTGGTTTTCCAAGGGTATACAGTAAGTTTGACTCTTGATTAAGTTGGCAAAAAAGAAACACCAGGGATGTTCCTAATCTCTGCTTTTGATAAATGAAACAGACTCTTTTAAAATTAATTTTGACAGAGTGGTCGTGTTCGAGACAAAGATATCTATCACAGAACTCGTGTGGGGCGAGGACTGATCATTTGAAAGTAACATTATTACATATAATACGTGGCATTCAATAAATTTAGTGACACAGAGCCTTTTGTTTCATACATACGTCATATATTTTGGAAGCTTTATTTAACAAGACAGCTTGCAATATAGACAGGAAAGGGGGATAAAGAGAGGGGATGACACGCAGCAAAGGGTCAAAGGTTGCATTCGAACACATGGCCACTGCAGTAAGCCCTCAACCTTGGTACATTGGGCGCCAGTTCTACCAGGTGAGCTATCAGGGTGCCCCAACACAGTTTTAACTAAAACATTAACCAAATGTTTTGCCTCCATTTTAATCAGTATATTTTATGTAATTAAATAATGAACTTTTAGTATAGAAGAGCTAAAGGTCACATTAGGAGTCATAGATCAAGACATTAGGCCATTATAAAAAATGTATTACGTTTTCAATGGTTCACTTACTTCATGCTCATACTCAGTCTAATAAATAATAATAATTTGTCATTCTGACATCTGAATACTAGATGCTTGCAACCAAATCCTGTATACAATATCTCTAACACTACAACTACAGTTGACATTTGCCAACAGACTAAGAATCTTATTTAAGTTGTTTTTTTATTTTGACCTCTTTATATTGTTTTTTGGTATGTAAATGTACAAAATTAACTTTAAAACCTAAAACACTGACATGAATATACATTGAAAAGACATTTTATACACAGTTGTAGGCAAATTCAAAACCCCTGACATCTCAAAGCTTCTGGTGCTGAAAGCTTTACACCAGTTCAGCTGCTTCACTTTAACATTTCATGCTTACTTAGTGCCATCTTGTGTTCAGGGAAGTCAACTGCTAGGACAGAGCAGATTGTGTCTCACAATGTAACTATATTTGCTTTTCATGCATATCTCAAACACATGAATTATTGTCACAAATGTATTTTCATGAATCCCAAAGGACTATTTCATATTACACCAGAAGATAACTCACTTGTCCTGGCTAGTCTGCCCTCACAGACATGCCTGGGCTAATTTTCTCTAGCACATGATATGTTTCCAGTAATCATTTTAACATGTCTGCTAAAGTCACATGATAACTTACATGCATCCTCTCCAGATCTTCCTTGCACTCTCTCTTCAACTGTAACAGGGCAGCCTGGTGCTCTGAAAGAAGGCAGAACAAGGACACAACACAAACTCATTCTGCTGGTAAATGTGAAGTGAAAGTGAAATATGAAGTGTATATTCAATTTAATTATCACAGCTCATTGCTGGTGTTTCTCTACAGATTAAAAGATGTATTGGGTTGCTACTGGCTGATAAATTACCATGTTAAATCACTATCAGGCCAATCTACAAGACAAGAGACAGAAGGTGATTCTACAGAAGGGTGGGTCACTTTAACTATAAAGAGCCATATTTACAACTCAACCGACCAGTTTTAAATTATACCGCTGGCTGAAAGGAAAGCCAAAACAAAACATTTTGTCAGGTCATGACACAAATCAAAAATGCTGATCTGAATCATAATTCACCAAATGTCCACGATGTTACAGCAGTATTTGGGAATGTACAACAGAGTCCAAGAGATTCCTCTTATTTTGTCAAGAGGAATGCCTTGTCTTTAACTGCAAACCAAATCGACCTTTAGGTTATAAATAAAGAAACTTGAACCTGAACCTAGGAACCAGACAATAGAGACTAACCTTAACAACACATATTTTGAGCTGGAGCATATTTTCACTGCAATATCCTTACCCATCCTATCCTGTGTAACCCGGTACCCTGCCCTATCAAGTCACACAGTGTCTCGGCAATACAATTTAAAATTATTTGTGGAGTAGATTGTTGAGTTTGTGGCTCGTTGGTACATTTGTCTCTCTTTCTTCCTATTTACAGTTAAGACTAAAACCAAGATCATATAAAGAAGATCCTGTCTGTATATGCACCAGGATAGACTATCTATAGAGCCACACATAGGCAGTTTGTTGTAATGAGTAACATTGCATTGTCGCAATGATTAATATGAGTCAATGATTACAATCAGGTTAATCTTAAAAATCAATTAAAACTACTGTTACTGTACTTAATAGTCAATTACTTTACACCACTTAATCAATACTCTAATCTAGGTCCGTACGTGTGTGGAGAATTAACAGACGAGTGTTATCTATATGGCTCACAGTCTGGACTTTTGCTCTGCTTCTCAGATTCCACACGCTCTCAGCACAAATCGGCAGAAGAAGCTCAATTTAATCTATTCTCAGGGATGAAACTGCACCACACAGACCATCCAACAGCTGTTGCACTACCGTTATGCACTGTACGCTTTCAGTCAACACCATTTGTACTGTACGCGGAACATGAAAGGAAAGCCTTTTACTTTGTAATACAATCAGCCAGTGTGTGCTTTTAACCAATCTGCGTGTCATTACACCTTTAGAGTACAAGGTGGGCCAAACATGGCGTGCTGCCCAGGGTATACTTGATTCCATTAATGTTTTTACTTCCCACACACATGCTATCCTGTGGTGCCACGAACCAGCAGCCACACAAACAGCAGCATTAAGATGCAGACACAGACTTGCTGTGTTCTTAAATGGATTTAAAGGATGTTTTACACCCTTCTGCCTAGCTCTGCATGATTTGTCTCAGAGTTTTAAAGTAGGAGTGCTTAAGCGTGTGATAGTGGTGGCTCTTCTTTTAGTTTTTTCAAGAGATCCATTCAAAAATACTGTGACATAAATACAATATCTGCAAGGACCATTATCCACAAAGCCAATCGGTGTGAGGTGTGTCAGTGTAAGCTTGACTGGCGTGGTCCTCTGTCAGCATTCCTGGTCTTAGATGTAAATACCGACAACAGTGTCTAAAGCAACAAGCTTGAGCTTCTTACCTGCCTCTGTGTACTTGAGCCCCACCTTCTCTTCCTCATCTTTCGGTTTGGGTGGGGGCCACACAGCCTGCAGACGCCCGGGAGTCCGGTCCTCACTGTCTGTAGGGGACGTGACCTCTGTCTGTGGGGGAGAAAAAACAACATGCAAAAACGTCAGCATGTACCCTCGCAATGGAATGATTCAGCACCAGTCTGTCTCATGAATTTCCCCTTATCTTTGTATAAAGCTATTTCATTTAAATAAAGAAAGATGAAAATAATTTTGTGATGTTGAGATTTAAAATAATATAGGATTATGATTTCATACATTAGCCTCTGTGGGACTTTTAAGTTCCTTTCCAGGAGATTTGGAGCTTCTCTCAAAAATAGACCTCAGATTTTCCTTGTCATTCTTGATTTTCTTTTTCACTGCCTCCAGATCCACCTCCTCCACTTTTTCCTTTTTGACACTCCTGGGGCCAAAGATGCTCCTGAAGGTTTCATAGGCCAGATCTGAGGTTTTTTTTTTCTCCGCTTGGGATGTGGGGGTTTCTGGACTTGGAATTTTCTCTCCCACAACCTCTTCTCCATCCTTAGACTCTTTTTTGCTGTTTGGATCAGCATCCTGCACGTCATCTGACTTTTTGGACCCATCTTGGTTGTCAAGGTTGAGCAGCTGACTGAGCTGTCCCATTACACCGCTTTTAGTTTCCGTAACGGGTTTAGGCTCTGCATGCTTTTTGGCTGGAGAGGGTGTCTTCTGCTCGGGGAAAAGCTTGGCTTTGTTTACAGACTTCTTCAGGCTGAGCAGAGCCAGGTCAGCGTCCTTCTCCCTCTGCTTGATCTCTGACATGGTCTCCCTGTCTTCCCCCACCGCTCCTTTCTTCAGCACCCGCAATCCGCTGAAGAGAGCCGGCATCTGGAAAGAAGAGGGCGAAGAGAGCGCCGCGCCCCTGGATAGGGAAGAGGTGGTGGACGTAGGGGAGAGGGCAGCTGGAGGTGGCGTGTTTGTTTCTGGTGTCTTTGGAGATGTTGTGCGCTGTGAGGCAGGACTGGCACTTGGCTGGATGTCACCTGGGGACTCTTCCGGTGACAGCGACTTGGTTTGATTAGCGCTACCTGCAGAGTCCGACTGCTCCTCTGGCCTAGAGGATACTTGGACTGAAACTTCAGGAGTCTTAGGGCTGGAGGGAACAGAGGGGGACACCTGGCTGGAATGAGGTTCCTCAGTCCCCTTCTGAGCCTCATCCTTTTCCTCATGTGTCTCCTCCTTTTGTGTACTGTCCAAGTCCTTTAAAGGAGAGGCCTCGGCAACCTGACCTGCAGCCTCCGAAGCCACATGTCCGGAGATGATGGAAGGAACAGGCAGAGAACAATCTATGCCAGCATACTCGTCGCTCTCATCTGTTCTCACACTGTCGCTATTCTCTGTAGCACCAGATGTTTTTACATCCACTGACACGATGGTGGAGCTCTCCTTGGGACTGCAGTCATCTCCCTGTTTGGAAACTGAAGAAACCAGAACTGTTCTTGAGTCAGCTCTGTTGATGAACCTGTCTGAATATAGAATAGATTCTATAAGGGATGTCTCCTTAAGTCTGTGTGTTCTAAAGACAGGTACTTGGTACTCCGCCTCTGCCTCACTGGCATCTTTTGGCTCATCTTCATCATCATGGTCCACTTTGTCATTGTCCTCCTCAGGTAGGGTAGGCTCCCTGGTCCTCGCAAGCTTCTCTGACAGTCCAGTGCTGCTGCGGGCTGCCTCTTCATCCTCATTTTCTGTGTCGCTGTACGTTTCCACCCTAGTGACCTGGACCAGATCTGGGTCAACCGAGGTTCCAGACTCCTTGCAGGTTTCCAATGTTTCAGTAGTTTGACCACCTTCAACAGGAGGGTTCTCCCCATCTGCCAGCTCCTTGAAAGACGTTAGCTTAGCCGACTCCATGTCTGAAGAGGCAGATCTATCCCGGCTGAAAAGACTGTTAAAGACATTCAGGAGGGAACTAGTGGGCTGCTTCCCCGGCCCATCTAAGTTATTACTTGCACTGTCCATTTTTGTTGACACCAGACTGAGAGCAAAGAGAAGCAAACCAAAACAGGTAGTAGCTCCAGCAAAGTGTCCGATGAAAATGTCACAAAAGGTTCATCTCCCCAACTCCTGTTATCCAAACTGTTCCAATTCCACCTCTACTGCAGGCTGGGAACAAAAGGCCTTTGTATGGACAAATCTCCCCAGCTCCTCTTACCTTCTCCAGAAGGGCGCCAATTATAACAACACTATCCTGTATTCCTGTTTAGTGACACACAAACAGGTTGCACATACTACACTTTGATCATATCACATAAAGACTACAACTGACTGTATGTTGTCAGTAGTACAGTTCAGTCTCTTCTGTGCGAGCAAGATTTCCATAAAGCTGCAAGTGAAGTGAAGCTGTTCAGTGGCTGGAAGCATGTCCTGTAATCTCCCTGGGAGAACAGGAGAGCAGAGTTCACCTGCCTTTCACAAGAGCATTTCCAACTGTTCCGACAAGTTGAGCGGTATTATCCATAAAGTCGTGGATTTATCCTTCTCTATGTGGCTAAAGTCCTCCTCTAGTTTAGCTCTGTCCTCTTTAACTTGTCTCTCAGTTTACAGGAAAGCCCTGTGTGCTGTTGTGTGAGAAAAAAACCCTTAGGTTGGAGAAAAATGTGTCTCACTGGTCTACCCAGTCCGGGGACGCCTCCCTTCAGGTTCCTCCCTTCCTGGGAGGGAACCTGCAGAGCCCGGCACCGCAGGTGTCTGATTACCTCTGCTCACTTCCGTGAAATGGCTGCTGAGGTAACAGAGCAAGCACAGCGCGGGAGTCAGTCTGTGGTCAGGTGGCGAGCTGCAGAGGTCCATTAACCCAGCACTGCGGTGGGTTAGTGCAATACAGGGCTTAAGACGTGGTGATTAGTCAGCCTGGCTCTAGCCAGCTCTAGCTAACATGCTAAGACGCTAATATTTGTGATTAGAAGCTCATGAACACTCAGGCAGAGGAGGACTGAAAGAAGAAAAAATTACATTTAAATTCACTTACCTTAAGTCGCTAATGAGCTTTTACAGTTTTGATTCAACCTGGAAGTTTAGTTTTGAGTACACTTCTTAGCTAAACAATAAAACGATAAAATCAAAGGGCAGAGAGATACAACTTCTGTAGTGTTTCTTATCTAGCTCATCCTTGATTTAACCTGCTCTAACCTTTGATTTGATATTGATATTATTTTTTGTACTAATATCAAGAATGTGCTTAGGAAAACACAGCATTATTCAAACTGTGGTTGCCCATAGCAACCAAAGGTCAAACTCCTCTAAAACATTCCTTCAGGTCTAAGCTGGACCTACCAAAGGGCACACCTCTACCAAACTGTTTTAAAGTGGGCTTTTCAAATGTTTTGAATCCAGTTTTATGACTTCCTTAAAGAAATACTATGGTCTCCCCCTTCACAAGACCAATGACTAGAAAGAAAGAAAGACTACATGATGGCAAGTAAAAGAAATTGACATTTTTCACGACTCAAAATAGTGATGTTGAAAAAGGAAGCAATGCACCCAGCAATGTAACTGCGTGAATTATGGCAATACTGTTGTAAAACTATATCCCAAACGAGTATTTCTTTGTCACTGCTATCATTTTGTCACAATAAAAGTGGCCTAATACCACTTATAACTGCATTTTCCCAGGTTTGGTGATTATATTATTTTCTCTCATCTGAAGAAAGCCACAAATGAAAAGGGGGCTTCTGTGGCAGAGGAATTAAGTTATGTAAGATTGGTATTTCAAACACACCCAGTAAATCCCACCCAGAGGTTGTACTGGAGAGAGGCACTGCTGATAGACAATACCGTGATGTGAACACAGAGCTGACACATATGAGCTCAAAATAGTGAAAAGTTGCAGATGATGCAAACTTGACTTACAAAAAAAAAAAAATACCAAGTCTAGCCCACAGAATTTGACTAAATCATCACCACAGCCCTCCCTTTGTGTATTCCGCTGTTACAACACACTGAGAATACATCGTGCACAACAGAGATGTGTGTTTTTCTAATGAATTAAAATGGATGACTGTGACAATGAAGCCATGCCACAGCCAAGTATGTGAGATGGATGTCACTTTCACAACAATGCAGAGTGTCTAATTCTCTACACATGCCCTTTGTACTGGTATGTTAACCCATTATGCCTACAGTCAGGGCAGTTATTGTGTTCTGAGAAAACAATGTGTGGCTTGCAATGATGATACTACCCGCCTAAAAACCACACCCGGGTAATCTGCCTTATCTTCTACAGGAATGAATGCCTTTGCCAGACAGCATAATGGAATCTGGACAGACTTAGAAACAGTTTTTCCAAATCATTCTATCAGATGATTTAGACATGCAGCTCGGAAGTTCTTTAAAGATACCACTTATTAGCATAATTAAGGCCTACAAACACCTGGAAACAAACAATGCATTGTTCACTGCAGGGTTTTTTTTTAGGAGACTGATGTAGGATTATATCGGTCACATGCTCTGTGGCTCTTGTGTTGCAACTTCTGCTCAATAACAAGAGAGAGAAACCACTCCAATTACTCCTTACAACCTGCACCACTGAAAATATGTGAATATGAGATCTTCCTGTCTTTGTTCTGGATGAAAGAGGTTTTAGTAGAATGATCTCAGTCAGTTTTGGCTCAAGACCCCAGTCTGAAGATTAGAATCCATGACCTGTTAATCCATTTCTAAGAATTCATGATCAGGTGGTTGGATGTGAGTGGAGAGAAATCCCATGAGAAGGGGTGGTGGGAGGGTAAAGATATGCATCACAGCTCATTTGTAAGTGTTTGTGCTGCTCATGTTTTGAGGGCCCTCACCGTGCACTCCAGCTTGGGACAGTAGGGTGTGTCCCCGATGATGTCATCCTCAGGCGGTGTGATGCGTAGAAAGTCGAGGTGATCGGGGCGCGGAATGCGGGAGAGGGGCTCCTGAGGGTCATCGCCATCCAGCATCCAAATGTCATCCTGACGCAAGAGGGATTCGTCTACAGAAACACACAAACAAACGAACAACCACAGGGTAGTTAACGCTCCGTGTTGTGCAAGGAAACAGAGAGCATGGAAAAACAAACAACAGCATAACAGGTGTGATCATGTGTGACAAGGCTAAATACCAAGCACTGACTGAGGCAAGTTGCTGTGTAACCTGCACGTGTGATTAAAGTAGAACAAGGTAGAGAGCAAGCATCAGAATCTTTTAGCATCAAACAGGCAGCGAGAGAGACCCCTGTTCTGCTGCAGGCTTGAGGGCACATAGCTATTTTTATCTGCACTTAGCCGGCCCTGTTCCAATTGTCAAACACCAGTAGAAAGCCTCACTGATCCAATAAGGAAACAACGGCTACAGAGCACAGGGCCTAGAAAACAAATACCGGTTTCTAATGCTGATTTGCATGTTCACTGTAACAGAGCCGTGGCATGCCGTTGCTCAGCACTACCACTGTACCACAGTACAGTCAGATGCAGATAGGTGTGTGTGATTTGTCTCAGCCTGTGTATTTAGTCATCCAAAGGCCCTGAGGGACTGCTTCACCTTAATCTAGACTGGGAAACACTGCCCTCTCCTGATCACATAGAGGATGATGAGCAAGCTTTAATCGTGAAAACAGCTAAAACAGGGTAAAAGTATATTTCAAAATTCAAGAAAAACTCCTCCCTCTGTGCTGTTTTTGCCGCAGTATGCTGTGGAGGCTGGATTCATTCTGTGCATTTCAGAGCACCTGGCCTTAAATATTTACTGCTCAGTGGCACACTGGAGATCCAGCCTCAACTTGCAGAACTGTCCTCATGTGCTATGCCCTGAACAAATCACATGATGTTAACTCCAGGAACCAGGCTACTGCCAGCGAGCGAGGGACACACATACAAGCACATAGCAGAAATGTAATTTTACATTCTTCTCTCGTGCATGGAAACACGATACATCTTGACTTGATGCATGCATTTATTGTCTCAAGGGAGTCAGTCATGCAAGAATAAAGGAGAGTTAAGAGATGTTGGGCAGGGACATTGAGGTGAAAGAATGAAGAGGAAAGAAAAGGAGGTGGAGAGAGAGGGGAAAGAAAATAGTGCAAGTGAGGGGGGGAGGGTATAGATCTTGAAGCTTGGTGACCTCCATTTCCTCTGGCTGAAAGACAACACCTTGACCTGGGCAGAATTATGTGCTGGAAAGCGAGAAAATCATATTACTTCCTGTTAGATAAACTGCTAAAATATCCTATAGCCTCCCTTTGTAATGTGTACCCTTGAAGAGGGCATACAGTATTACTGTATTGATGTCCAGCAACCATTCTAAGGACTTGGAAGTCCCCTTGTGTAGCTCCCCAGAGGCTGAGTCTCAGCCAAATGCTTTAAATTCAGTTATGAGAGCCCACACACACAAAACTAACTGGGGGGTTTCATTAAAAAATGGAAGCATTGAAATTCAACTTCAGTATTCCACCACAATCAGTCATTATGAGACAGCAGCAATGCCTGCAGTCCCTCCAGTTATCTGGGACTTAGACAGCAGAGAAAAAAAGTAGGATTAGATTAATAACTTTTCATTATGATAATGCTGCGCTGCATGGCCCCGCAGTGGGAACTGCTGACTGTAGGCTGGGCCACTTCCAAATGCAGAGTTAAGCCCAGACCGGGCCAAGGAAAGAAACTACTGATCAGAAACAGCCCTCTCAACAGTTCCTGCTTCTTACTAAACTATGAAATACATAAAACAGGCAAACAATAAGCACATACTGACATATGCTTGCTATATTCCTTTATGACTCCCACAAACTATTTACAGTTATACAATATTGAGGGCTTGCTTGTGCGTGTGATTTACATTGCTGTCAATCCCCTGAGGCACAAATGCACAAGCAAGCCATCGGTCACTTAATTAAATATGCAGAAGGTGGAACACACTGCCACCATCTGGACGGGGAGAAGAAAAGGCACGTCCGTCTCCCTGTCGTCAAACACACTGCAGTGAAGCTCTGATTTCACTGCTGTATGCTAGAAATAAGACACAGTGAAGTAACACATAAAACTGCAATGTAATGACAGTAAACTGATATGGAGAAGCAACTCTTAGGTGCATTAGGTAATGAAGGCACTGCATTTGTTTATTCGATAGCTGATTTATCACCCTCTTACATGCACGCGCGCACACACACACACAGTGAGCTTAAGTTCACTAGCTCTGGGGGAAACTGCGCACTTATTGCTATTTAATCTCCCTCCCTGCTGCTCTAAAAGCCGAGAACGAATCACAGTGTCTTTAACTGAGGGGACACAGGGTGCAGATGGGATTGTGTTTTTGGTCTGACAGCAAGTAATGCTTTGCTAAATAGATCATCCCAACAGCAGTCCACCAAATACTGTCCATACACATGTCTATAGTACATACAGGTGTTTCCTTAGAGGAAAGTAGCAGGTGTTGAATGAAGTGCAGTAATCTCACAGTGAAAATTACAGTGTGCGAGTGACTGTTTCTGCACTCCTGCAAGCATTATCATTTTAACAATAAAGTATCTGTGTTTGGGGCGACTCAAAGACCGTTTAATGTCTGATCCTGACAGGT